TATTATTATTATTCTATTATTATTATTATTATTATTATTATTATTCTATTATTATTATTATTATTATTATTATTATTATTATTATTAATTATTATTATTATCATCATCATTATCATTATTATTATTATTACTACTACAATTAAATTATAAATATTGTAGGAAATTATGATTTAACACCATAATGACAGAAGATAATTTATGTTTGCCAAATTTTTTATCCTTGAATCCCATTTTAGTCTTTCTTCCTTTGTTAATATTCTTTCTTCCTTTGTTAATATTCATCTTATTGAATAATTTTAATGTGAAATATTTCTTTTTTATCGATTTTTTAATTTTTAAATTGAAGGTTCTTTTTATTTTTTATTTTTTCTAATAACATTAATTAACGGCATTTGAAACTTAAGCAAAAAAAAAATGCAATTGTTCAATCGCTTTTTTGATGATTGAAATTCATTCTTATCATTTTATTTATCATTAAATTAAACGGGATTTTCAATGCTCTATCAATCTAGTGTTTCCGTTCATCGATTAATATCACTAAAATATGTTATATATATCAAGTTATGCCGTTTTCTTTCCCTAAATAGTATTTGAGGTGAAAAATAAGAAAGATGGATAAGTTTGACTTTTTTTTAAAAAAAATAAAAAAATAAAAAGAGAACAAAAATGAAGAAAAAAAAGACAATTAATTAAGTCAATAAGATATCAATTACATTAATTACATTTATATGATTTCATTATAATTTATTATCTTTTAAAATTTGTTGAAAATATTTGAAGAAATTTTTTCTTTTCATCGTTCATTCCTTTTCTCTTCTGAATTATAAATTCTTTTAATTACTGATTATTAAAATTTCAAAATAAGTTATCAATTATCAACCATTGGATTGTATTGTTATCGAATTTCAATAAAGAAAAATTAAGGGATTATTAAGTAATGCTATAATCTTACTTTAACAATATTATATCTATGATATCGATTACATTGTAATCTGTGCTGTGATGATTCAAACGTGTGTAATTATTCGCTCGCTAAGAATGACTTAATTATAGTTAATTAAGATTCGTATCTATCCAAGTATGCATTTATGTATTTATGTGTCTTTGTCTTTGCAGGCGTGCATTGCATGTTGCGTGTGTATGCATGTAAGTGTATGTGTGTATATAGGCATGTGTGTGTGTATATATGAATGTGTATATATATATATATACATATATATGTAGACACGCATTGTGTGTGGTATGTATGAATGCGTATATATATATATATATATATATATATATATATATATATATATATATATATATATTATATATATTATTATTATATTATTTATTATTATTTATTTATTTTA